TACCCAACTTGGAAATATCAAAGCCTGTAGAAGCAAGGTATTCCAGGAAGGCCTCGTCTTCGTTTTGCATAGCTGCCTGGTCAACAGGTGGAAGACAGAAGATTGTTAAAGCACAGGATAAAAGGCCTAGTGAGGAAGCCAACCACCATGCGGACTTAATACCGTACTTGTTAACCAAAGGCGTAAAGACATAGGTACCTGTGAACGCACCAACCTTACCAATAGCAGCAGCAATACCGTAGTATTGGCCTCTGATAGGGGTACATGAGGTCTTGGAAGCCAGGAGCCCGATGTTATCACCAGGGCCAAACTCACCAAGAGTCATGAAGATACCGTAGCAGACAACAAATCCAGCTATACTCTTCTGTAGCTGTTCGAAAGAACCAGCCATAGCGTAACCAATGATTGATTGACAGAAGACACCGAGGGCCAATGTTAGACGTGGGCCAATGTAATCAGCAGAGATGGCACCGAGGAAAGAGCCTGGCAGGTAAAACAAGTTGAGGACAACGTTCCAACCAAAGACTTCGTATAGATTACTATCGTCGTAGACACCTGCCAACACGTACGAGGAGAACAGTCCAAAGCCGTAAGAAGAGTAGTCGTAGATGAACCAGATGAGCGAGACGATTGTCAGCCTGAACCAGTAGAATTTGATAACAGCCCAGTAAGGAATTCTCACCTTCTTGAACTGTGTCTTCTTGAACGTCTCACCTTCTGTATAATACAAACGCAGGATGAACAATGAGATTGGTGGGATAGCACCGATACCAAGGGTAACTCTCCACACAGGAGTCAAGTGATCTGGCGTACAGATCCACAGCAGCACCATTGGCACGAAAGTAGAGATCACGAAACCAGAGTCAATCATGAAGTTTGTAAACCAGACAAACCATCTGTTTCTCTTTCCTGGAGGCAACATGGCAGAGGCCTCAGCACAGGCAGTAGAACCAGCTGGATACTCAGAGCCAAGACCAATGCCCAGGAAGAATCTATACACTGTTAGAGCAGTAAGCATACCGTGAATATCGGAGCTGTTCTTCCCCCAGACACCAGAGGTTAAGATAGTCATGATGATAAGGATAATGGTACCCCATAACATGGCTGCTCTTCTTGAATGGTAATCAGCGACGTAGCCGAAGATGAGCATACCAACAACAGTACCGACAAAAGCGATGGAAGTGACGTTTCTAATAGCATTTGATTCCTTATACTCCTTAGGATAAAGAATGGAAAGAGAGGTGGTGACGGTACCAATGGAATTATTCACGTAACCATCTGAAAAGAGACCAGACCCTGT